TATATATATATATATGTATGTATATATATATATATATATAAAAAATTTAAATTATTTATGTAATTTTAATTTTTTGTTTTGTTTTTCAGGACAGGCCTCTGTCAGCATATCAGTGTCCAACAGTCAGATCCAGGAGAATGTGGTATGTTTTGTAAATGCATTTTTTAATGTTGAAATTTATTTAATTATAAATAAAAAATGTACATGACAAAAATGAACATATTTAATATCTATGATACCTAAGCTAATGGTTACATTTAAATAAAATCCATCTCCTCCAGGACATTGGGACGGTGTATCAGATTTTTGCTGATGAAGTGCTGGGATCTGGACAGTTTGGAATCGTTTATGGAGGTACGTTGATTTTCTGTTGTCCGCAACTTCCTGTCCACGGCTGCATAAATCTGCAAATTAATATATATATTTTTTTAATTAGGCAAACACAGAAAGTCAGGAAGGGATGTAGCGGTCAAAGTCATCGACAAGCTTCGATTTCCCACCAAGCAGGAGAGTCAGCTGAGGAATGAGGTGGCCATACTGCAGGTAAGTCTGTGTGATACAAACTTTGTACTCACGTCAGTATGTTTACCAGCCTTAGTGTATGAGTCGGTCTGTTGATCATTGGGTTAAACCGGTCAATTGTCCAGAACATTCTCCATGTTCTGATGAGAGAATACAACCAGTAGATTAAAACAGGTCCCAAAGTTGTAAGAGAACTCACTGGGAGCAGCTGCAGGACAAACAAACATTCCAATTCAGTGCCGCTGTCTGTGGACATTTACACATTTCAAATGACGCCCCCGAAGCTGTGACTCTCTGCAGTTTTTCAATTTTTCACATTAAATTACATATTGATTTCCCGTCTCAGTAGCAATGGGTCCTGAAATTTGATGGAACCAATTTATAGTTCGTGGTTGATGTACTAAAACAAAATGGAAGCCAATGTTCCGCAATCGTCAGATTCGTTGTTATTTTGACAGCACAGTTTTGTCACTGCGCAGAGATGATCACATTAGCTTTCAACCAACAAAGTTCACGTTTTCTAAACACGAGACAGAGAAAAATATGTAATCTAGCGTTTAGGGCGCTTTTTTTCACATGTCCTTATTTTCGATAATGTTTAAAAACATTAAATATGTGAGGAAAATGCTTAAAGTGCATATAACCAAATGCAGGTATATTGATGTGCAATAACCAAAACTGTAACAATACAATACAGCAAAAAAGGTTTCAAATATATATTTTTAACAATATCTCAAAACATCCACTAGAGGGAGTCAAAGTTGTTTGCGACTAAATGAAAGAAACACGACTGATGCAATTGGGCGTAGCCAGTAATGAGCGACAAAGACAATATTTCGATTTCCATTTTCCTCAACTGACTTTTTAACTGAACTTTGTGTTTATTACTGCCGTCCACTGGTGAAATAGACGCACGACAGGAAAGACAGCAAAAAAATGGGCTTTGACTCTTATTTTCGTACTTTAGTTCTTTTTATTAGAGTGCATCTTAGCAGTTGAAGAATTGAAATTCCACCCACCTTTAACACACGTTTGGCTCCTGTGCTTCCTCGCCCTGTTACAGCAGAAGAATAGAACATATATTAGTA